TCCTTTTGTAGAGATGATAACCCCAAAGGCTAGAATTTTATTGTCCTCTAAGACATGAACCAATTTTGAATTGAACTTTACAATCTTATTTGAACATCTCTTTTCCACTGACTTTTTAATCAGTTCCTCATACCCTCACTGAATCAATTTTGTTATTCTGCTAGTTCCCTCATTAAATGAGTTCAGCAAAATGTAGACACATGCTCTCTATGTGCATGTGTTTAATAATGTAGGAATTAGAGTTTGATGATTTCTGGGCCTAACAGTGGAATCATCTCTAGGAGACTGAGTTCTGTGCTTTAGAGCTCTCATCAGTCATACACCTAGGGCAGCTACACTAAGACACCAAGATTAGTTCAGTCAGCTCATGTGAGGCACATGAGGCTCAAAGCACAAGTGTGACACCTTCCCTTCATAGAGACCACAGCTTTACACAGAGAAAAACCTACTGGTTGAGAACAAGGCCAGCAAATGCACTCCTACGTGTGTGTCTCTGTGTGTGTGTGTTTGTTACCAGTCTTGAGCCCAGGGCAAAATTCACACACACACACATATATATATACATATATATATGAGAAATGAGTGTTTCTGCCCAAAGAAGACAAGAATGTTCAGAACCTTTATTCATAAAATCCCCAATCTGGAAACAACTGAAATGCCTATTGACAGGCAAATGGATAAACACATTTTAGTGTGTTATCATGGGTTACTTTACAACAAGAACAAAATACTGAACAAAGTACTGATGCATGCAATAACATTTTGTTGTACAAAAGATGCCATATATAGAAGAGCACATATTGGGGGCTGAGGATATACCTCAGTTGGTAGATATACCGCATACCCTGGGTTCAATCCCCCAGAACCACACACATACACACACACACACACACACACACACAAAGAGCATATATTGTATGAGACCAGATATGTGAAATTCAAGTACAGGCAATACTAACCTATGATAACTTATTACCTAGGAAGACATGAATGATTAGACAAAAGTATGATAGAACTTTATGGACGGATAGAAATAGCATTGATCTGGATAGTGGTTACAGAGGCATACTCATTACAAAAACAAAAATCATTCCCAGTGACTCGGGAGGCTAAGACAGGAGGATCACAAGTTCAAGGCCAGCCTCAGCAATTTAGCAAGGCCCTAAGCAAGTTAGTGACATCCTGTCTCAAAATAAAGAAATAAAAAGGGTTAGAGATATGGTTCAGTGGTTGGTTAAGCATCCCTAGGTTCAATCCAGTACCAACAACAGCAACAACAAAAATCAGGCACTCTAATGCCTCATACATTTTATTCTATGTAAATTTCATCTTAAAATGAATTTTTTAAAAAATTTAAATTTAAAGAGAGAGCCAGGTGTGGTGACACACACCTGTAATCCCAGCAGCTCAGGAGACTGAGGAAGGAGGATTGCGAGTTCAAAGCCAGCCTCGGCAACTGCAAGGCGCTAAGCAACTCAGTGAGACCCTGTCTCTAAATAAAATACAAAATAGGGCTGGGGATGTGGCTCACTGGTTGAGTGCTCCTGAGTTCAATCCTCAGTACCAAAAAAAATAAAATAAAGAGAGGAGATAAAGAAAAACATATTCCAAAAGAAGTAGGTACAGAAAGGATTTGAAAAGATTCTTCCACATTTACATTTAATAAATGAGAATTAAAAGAGGGACAAATCCAGAAGGCCACATGGGCCAACAGACTGCAAAGTGAGAGCTGGTAAGATTCAGGTTCGTTTGTGACAATAGGATGGTCTGGCATATGGAATACCAGGAAGATAGCTAGTATTTTTGTCTTGAAAGACTAAGACAATACAGATTTGAAGGTGGACAATGAATGCCAGCTCTGGGAGAACATGCTCAAATGGAAACTGAGTAAGGGTCTGATAAATGAATTCAAAAAATTCTTAAGGAAGACTCTCTAACAGTGCTAACACCAAGATAAAGGCATAAAAATGAATGAAGGGATTCCACAAAAGTACCTCATTCAATCCAGGGACAAATTATTCTTAGTTTAAATATAATCTACATAAAATCGCTTTCAAAACTGTACACCTATGCTAATATGACTGTTACTAACTAAAGACACCTTTTATGCTTTTAGAATTCTCTATGGGAGTGTTGGTTATTGTTAAACTCTACTGCATCCACCTACTGAATTTTCAATTATAGGCCTGAGGGTGAAGACTTAAAAATGGACTCAGCCATCTGAAAGCATCAAAGTTTCTTTTTCTACCAAATGTGACAGCCACAAGTAATGCAGCCCCAACCATTCCTGCCACATCCTTTCTTCCCTGCATGGAATGAGTACCTCCCAAGAACATAAGTTCCCTTCACTGCACAAGGGCTCAAGCCAAGGTTCGACAACAACTGATTAGTCAAGAGCCAGGAGAGTCAGGCCCAGGGAAAAGGGCCCGAAATAGGACCTGCAGCACACTCACTAGGTAGCTGCCACTGTACTAAAAGATTGTCAGTGCTGTGTCATTTAATCCTCAAAGTAGTTGGGAGGTAGTTGGGCTCTCAAAAAGAAATGACACACCCAAATTAGGGTAATCTGAGGTGGGACTAATAAAGAGACTCATATGTAATAGGTGAGATATTTTAAAAACCCACAGCAATAGCCAAGGGTTAGGGACAAAGAGCCACCAGATCTGCAAGGATGCAGGGACAGGTGTGTGGAGGAATACAGACTGAATGGGAATAGCCACCTCTCGGGTAAGGGACACAGGCAGCCAAAGTGGTGATCCATGACCTCACTAGCCTCCTCCCTCCCTGCCATCTCCTACCAGGGCTCCCCTTAAGCCAAGGCCCATAGGAGGCAGGAGCCACTGCTGAGGGCCCACCCTACCTAGCCCAAAGCAATGCAAGCAGGGCAATGGAAGATGTCCTGGCAAAAAGGACCACATCACCCTCCTTCATAGGGAAGGAGTCTTTTGGTTCCCAGAAAGGGGACCCTAGATGAGGAGGAGGGTCACCTTCTAGACTCTCTGTGGGCAATTCCTGCCCTGTCTTTCCCAGCCATCTTCCATAACCCCTTGTAGCATAGCCTTGAGTCCAGGGAAAAATCCATAGGTGTTTACCAATGCCTTCTCAGATTCTGTGGATTTGTGGTTTGAAATGAGGGAGCACTATGCCAACAGGACATGTTAAAGGCTTTCAGAATAGGGCCTGCCTTCAAAACTGGAGCTGATGCTACAGTCCCTGCTCCATCCCAGGCCTCTCCTCTCTCTTTCTGACAGCCCTCCCTCCTTCCCAGGGTCCTCTTTTCTCTTTCTTACAGTCCTCCTCTTGTCATTACTTCCACCTTTGTCTTCACTCCAACCATTGTCCGTTTTATCCGGGAAAATCTTCTTGTCACAGAAGAATTGGTTCAACTTCAAGAACAGTCCCTTCCTAAAATTTTATTTGGAAAGGCAAAAGAATTACTTCCCATTTCCGCATCAACAGAGTTAATTCGTGGTGGCCTGGAAATATTTTTCTAGTCTTAAAATGGAAGAGAAGCCAGGTGGGGTGGTGCACACCTGTAATCCTAGCGGCTCAGGAGGCTGAGGCAGGAGGATCGCAAGTTCAAAGCCAGCCTCAGCAACTTAATGAGGCCCTAAGCAACTTGGTGAAAACCAAAATATAAAAAAGGCTGAAGGGGTTGGGGTTGTGGCTCAGTGGTAGAGCGCTTGCCTAGCATGTGTGAGGCACTGGGCTCAATCTTCAGCACCACATACAAATAAAGAAAGAAAAGGTCCATTGGCAATTTAAAAAATATTTTTTAAAAAAGGCTGGGAAGGAATATGGCTCAGCAGTTAAGTGCCCCTGGGTTCAATTCAGAGAGAGAGAAAGCTGCTGGAGTCAAGCACAGGGTGCGAGCTCTATACTCCTACCATTGTAGAAAGCAGTGTTCATCAGCATGTTACTAACAAAAAGCCCCCCAGTTTTCTGTTTACCAAAAAGAAAAGAAAAAAGAAATGCTAGCAGGAACACCCAGAAACAGGATCCTAAAGACTGAGCTAGGTTCCTACATTTTTGAGACTTAACACAGTACAAGGTAGAGGACCTAGGGGCTGGCAAGCCCAAAGCATATCATATGTTTTTCATCAACACTCCTTATCCCGAAATCCTTCCACTAGGCCCATGGGGCTCCTTTGAGAGCAGGGCCACCTGTTAATGGGCCCATATTACCTGTCTCAAGCAGCCAATGCACACTGTTTGGTATGCCCAGTACTACAGAGAATGCCAAAGAGAACCTAAGGATTTCTGTTGGGGCTGCATATCAAGGACAATCTCCTCTTCTCCAATGTGAGATGGGAAGTTTATAGTACTGGTGCTTTTAGATGTAGCTAGTATTTCCCAAAAGGAACAGCTTCCAGGTGATCCCTTTTTTTACCCAGCAATTTTGAACTAGTATTTACAGCTATATAATATGTAATTTATTAATGATAATGTGATATATACTTTTGTAAGTAAGTGCTAGATGACTTTGGCAAAGGACATAATTTTCAAAACCTTACTGGAGAAATAGGTTTTGTTCAGTGCCTCATGGACATAAGGAATAAAAAATAATAATATAATAAGATAATATAAATATAAAAGTAGAAAATATAGCATTGTTCAGATTCTGTATTTAGTTTGATTGCTACTTCATGTAAGCGGTCAAAACTGACCATGGAATGGAAAAGGAAAAACTTCTTTGAAACTCTTAAGGCAAATAAATAAGTACATAAATAATTTAACAAGCTTTATATTTTTCTAGCATTTTCTAAGAATTGATACACAGTTTGGGGAGAGATAATTCTGGGCCTTAAAAAAGCCATTTCAAAACAGGTATCCCAGATATCAAGGGCAAAACTACACATGGTCTTCTTGATATCACCCAGGAGATCAAATTGTCAACATAGCCCCTAAAAGTCCCATGCAATTCATCCTCAAATACCCCACAGCCTTTGTTCAGCAGAGCCCACAAAGGAGACAGGAAAAGGGTTTTGCTTTGTACTCACTCTTACAAAGTTGTCAGGGAACAAACCTCTCCTGCCATTGATCTGTCCCTCCCACCAGCCTCCATCCTCCTTCCTGATGTTGGTGATGACCTCACCCACGCTGATTGTCAGCTCATCGTCGTGCTGGGCCTGGTAATCAAACTCCACTATGGCCTCCACTGGAAAAGACAGAGAAAAAAGAGCAAGTTAGATCAGATGTTACAGAAGTCTGAGGCCCAACATCCCCGGAAGGCCAGTAGAGTCATATTAAAGGGACTTCCCCTCTACAAATATTTAAAATAATAAGGCCATACACAGCAACCCAATTTTGGTTAACCTAAAGCCTAAAGAACAGAAACCACAAAGTGCTGGTCGTGGTCAGACTCGGGCAGAGTGGCCTACTGGTCTCAGGGACAACAGGGACTTCAGAGGGGAAATCTCACAATAGCAGCCTAAAAAGATCTGCCCCACCCAGGTGGAGTCCAGTCTCATTTCCCTGAGGACAGAGACTGCAGACAACAGACATGAGTTTGGCCAGTGCTATTAGATGCTAACCTTCCTAGGCCTCAGTTGTGTAAAATATGGACCATAATTCCCACACAACAGAGATATTACCTATCTCTCAAGGACAATGTGTAAAGATGACTGGTATAAATAGCCAGGCTGGTGAAACCAATGTCTCAGACTGCTACTCAGAACCACAACTGCACCAGGTGTAGTGGTGCACACCTGTAATCCCAGCAACTCGGGAGGCTGAGGCAGGAGGATCATGAGATCAAAGCCAGCCTTAGCAACTCTATTTCTAAATAAAATACAAAAAAGGGTTGGGGATATGACTCAGTGGTAACGTACCCCTGGGTTCAATCCCTGGTACAAAACACACACACACACTCACACACACACATACACACAATTGTCCTCTCAACAGATAAATTCTTAGGCAACAATACCATGTTACACTGTCTTCCCATCCTAAACAAAGTATCTCTTATACTTGATAATAGGTGGAGTTAACAGGCTAGAAAAATGGATTTTCTCATTGACAAAGTGCCAATGCAAATTAGCAGAGCCAAGCAATCCAGAGATTAGTTAATTTATCCACAAGTTGATTATATAATTTATTGAGAATTTGGGCTCTTCCTCATGCCTACCTCAATACACACCAATCTCCATACCTTTTCCTTTTTCATTTGCAGCTCCATATGAATGAATGAATACAAAGATAGCAAAAAATTAGATGAGCCCCAAGTGGTAAATTAGCAACTCTGAAGTTATGATAAAATAATGGAAAAGTTAAATGATCTTTATTTTTAAAAGTGCATGTACTAAAACTAACGGAAATGGGTTACAGATCTAAATGTAAGAGCTCAAATTGTAAATCTTTTTCTTTCCTTCTTGGTTTTTTATTAACATGTAATAATTATACTTAATAATGAGGTATATATAGTGTGATATTTTAACATATGCACATAGTGTGCACTGATCAAATCAAGGCAATTGGCATTTCCCTTTCCTTGTCATTTCATTTGGAGCCTTCAAGTGCCTCTTTTCTAGATCTACGAGAGCATAAAAGAAAACTGTAATGACATTGGGTTTGGCAAAGATCTCATAAATAAAAGACAAAAGGCACAAATGAGCAACAAAAAAATTAATTCATTGAGGTCAGTTTTCTAAGCAAACAGCTGGCAGGTGAGTGGGTCCCCATCACAAGGGCTTTGCATATCTATTAGCGATAAGTTCCCAAGGCACTGCCATTTCAGAATATCCTATCCACTCAGACTCTCCACTCAATGTCAGCTAAAGCAGCCAGTCATAAGCAACTCAAAGTGGAATTTCCTTTCCCAAGATCATAGTTTCATCCCAAAATTAGCTGACTCACTCCACTGTCATAAATATGCTCAGGATGAGGTTGAGTAGTGACCCACTGTCATCACTTATCAATGGAAAGGAGTGTAAGAGCAGAAACAAGGTAACCTTTTTCAATATCTCCTAGTTCCTAACAAGCATGCAGGCAGAAACATTCCCATCTTCTTGTGTAGGGTTCTGTTCCCCAGCGGTTAAAATGAACCATCCTAACAACTGGAATGGTTAAGAAACAGCTTTCAGAGCACTGGGGTTATAGCTCAGTGGGCTGGGGTTGTGGTTCAGTAGTAGAATGCTTGCCTAGCATGTGTGAGGCACTGGGTTCAATCCTCAGCACCACATATAAATAAATAAAGGTCCATCAACAACTAAAAATTATTTTGAAAAATAACAATAAAGGTATTATATCTATCTATAACCAATATATTAAAAAGAAACAGCTTTCAGTTGGGCATAGTGGCACACACCTGCAGTCCCAGATACTAGAAGGTTGAGATGGGAAGATAACCTGAGCCTACAAGTTAGAGACCAGCCTGGGCACACAGCCCAAGACCTCATCTCAACGGGGAAAAAAAACAGCTCTCTAGCTCTCTTCAAATAACCTAAAGATGGATCTATGGAAGTTTTGCCATAGGAACTGAAGTCCCAGTAACCACTATGCATGCACCAAACACTGCTTTCCACATCATCCCATTTCCTAATTAAATATTATGATGCCCAATGAAAGAACCTGAAGCTCAGCAAGGAAGTTAAGTTCATTTTCTGAGTCACTACTCTCCAAAGT